GTGTACAGTGTTTGTGTGTGTGTTTGTGTTCTGTAGAGCAATACAGAAACTTCCATTTGATAATGTAATGACGTAAAGTGATGAGATATGTCAATTTTTAATTAATGACGCGAATGATTGTACGATTGGAAGGTATATTTCTTTTAAAGTACACCTTTAACTGCGACCTTCCAGATATGAATAGAATGTATTGCTATACACATATATGTGTGCGTTGATATGAGCATACAGGATTTACTCGTGTACGATTCATATGCCACTGGTGCACTTTATTTGTACAAAATTGGATGCACCTTTACATTTAAAGCAGAAATAACATAAAAGCACGCATATTCAGTATTAAGCGACGCAGCTACAACTTACCTCGCTTCTCAGTTGTTTACCACAATTGTCACACTGTAGAGATACAGCAACTTCCTCCTCTGCAGCGGCACTCCCTAACTTAAGTGTACCTGAGCTCTCAGTATTACCCTTGACATGATCTCCCGTTGCAGAAGATGACGATGCTGGTGTCACACCATCGTCGTTGGGATGCGAGTCCATCCAGTCGATGGCAGCACCCAGATTGTTCTGCGTCGACGCCAGCGCTTTCTTTGCTCGTGGCTCGGCAAATCCCATATCCAGAAGCATCTGTAGTTCCGACATTGTAAAGTTTATCCTCGGTTTGTCAAATCGTATACAGTTTGACAGTACTTTTTGTTTATTTTGCTTTCTGATGGATTTTCGATAAGGAGGTATACGTTTTGTATGTAGATTCCTGAACAAATCCCTACTTTTGGGTTAAAACTTCTCAAATATGTATGCCATTATTGCCATAGCCTCCTGAAATGTTCTTTTTTCAGGAGGCTAACATGCATTGTTCTTAGGTCTCTTGATGCATAGCCTCCTAGAATAATGACAAAATATGTATCTGTCCCTTGGGAAGTTGGGATCCAGGGATTGGGAATTTGGGACACAGCGAGTCACACACTACCAGTCCAATCAGGCCAAGTCCTATTTGATTTCTTCCACATAAATAACAATAACCTTGGATATTTTGCCCATTTGTATTTTAATGACCCAAAATTGCCTTTAATTCTATATTATTATTAGTAAGTGCGCTGATGTATGTAGAAATGGCCTTATTTGCTCTTCTTGGACTTTTTCTTCTTCGCTAAAAGCGAATCCTTACTAATCTTTTTGCTCTTCTTGCTTGAACTAGCTTCCACAGGTGCAGCTTCCTCCTCCTTCGTTTCACTTCGCTTTCGCTTCTTCTTCGGACTAGTCACCTCTGAAGATGCGAGCTCTCTTACCTCTGATGCCTTTCGTTTCCCCGCACTGCGCGTTGTAACGCCATTTCCAAAGGGTATATACCTCTGTGAATACAACAAAATGTTCATATGAGACCAGGTTAATCTATAATCGAGCAGAAATCCGGCCGCAAGAACTTGAAACGAAAAACATAGATCCGACGCTGGGATATACATACATGCAAATATATGCAATAGTGCCCAAGGATATCACAAATAGATGCGCATAGATGTGGGCATACATACATTAATATACAGACACACAAGCATACACGTTCATCTCTGGTGACATTTGCAGAACATACCGGTTTTACATCTTTCGGTGGTACACACAGTGGTGGGTCGTATGTGCCCTTCTTTGGCTCAGGTATTGCGAAGTCCCTCGATATTGTCACCTCACGCGTGAAGGGATTTCCTGCATAATACAAATGGAAAGTTACGCCAGTAAGAATCAAAGTAAGAAGCCTACGCTTGTTATATGCGCGAATTGGAATATTTATCGCATACCTTTCTTACCCTGAGGGCACGTTCAGAGGACCCTTATATCAATGCCTATTTCACTTAATTTCGCTAGCTTTTAGAAACCAAGGCAGGACCAATAAATAGACATCCCAGGCACCTTGGTATTTTACCAGCTCGAAGAAGCATTTTAGATTTGTCGTTTAAATTCACCCTCTGCTTGATACACTTAAACATATCAACCAAGACATGATCAACCAATATACATGTCAATCACTATTCACCAGTTCGACGAGTAATGTATATGTAATCTATACTCACCACGCTGTAGACCATCCCGGCCCAACACAGTCGCTAGCGGTAGTAAACATATACTCTCGCTGCCTGCGGGTTTGGGATATGAGATCATGTAGTCCTTGTCACCCTCAACGGCACTTGTAATTGGTGTTGCACCTTTCTCCTGGAGTTTTATACCATCTAGCTTCTTGACATCGAACTATGAGTGATCAAACACAAGTGTAGCAGCAAAAATTTAGTGCTTCGCACTATAAGCATCTCACTGCTTATCAAAAAATAGAGTTTAGCTAGAAATAGATCTATACGTGCAATTACACAGCAAAATAACGGACTTCGACAAACATATACTGGCAATAACTTACGTCCACGGGCAAAGAAAACAACCAGAGCTCTTCATTATCTCCAAGTTGAATCCCCTTGTCACCGGAACTTGCATGTGTAAACCCATTCGGTATCCGCTTAACGCTGCTAAACAAAGTTGAAGTGTGAATGAGGGATGGAACCTGAGAATCTGTGAATAAGTCAGTAGCTAAGACAGTTTTTACAAGGAACTTTACGACATGCCTGGTTGCAGCAAAAGCATTATTCAACTCGCATGCAAGAATGAAAGCGCCCAAAGATGTACTAACATTTGTGCGCAGATCGCTTCTAATATAATCCGAGAGGAACTACCAGGGTTGTACTTCCCGTCAATATATTGAACTCACGATCACTTATAAAAGCTGTTCGTTCGAATATTTGTATACAGCATGCTGCATTCTAAAATTTCGCCCGATTGCACAAGCAGTATTATATAAATTACATTCATACTTTGGATATGCATTGCGCTACGATTGGCACGCAAATTGTACACCATACATATCGAATCAACCGTTATTCGACAAAGCGATGCATGGTACTATGACAATCTCTGATACGAACGTGAAACACAAGATTCAGTGCAATCTTCGGTCACACTTACCCAGCCATATCCTCTTGATCCAATATCTGCGCACAAAAGTTATCGGAACTTCTTTACTAGGTGGGATATCTATTTGTTACATAAGCCATATAAAAATATCATTTTACCACGCACTAAATTTTTATAATAAATATTTCTCCCCAATCAGTCATCAGTCATCATTCATCATGTGTGCACTGTGCAGTATCTGCGAACGCCGATGTCTCATTGCACTAAAGAGCTTCAAGTTTTGGCGGGCTTCTGTTGCGATATTTTGTCTGCATATATCATATTTTTAAAATAAGAAACAGATCACAATCACATAGATTAATAAATAGGGCCAAAACATTTTATTTGTATATGTATATATATTTATGTAATATCTCTTTCGTGTGACTTTCGTGTGCACTAGTTAGTTACCGATTATGCAATCGCTTGGCTTTGGCGACAGCTCAGACATCATCTGAAATTTGGCCAGGCTAAAGGTGCACTGAAATGAATTGTATATATAGGCGAGATCGCAACTATGTTCGTGTTCACTCGTGCTCGGATCCTGGCATGCTTAATCTTAGTGCACTGCTCGACTGATCTCGTTACGTATCTCTTGTACGTGCCAAGTCTATGATTCTGAAATCAATGCCATTGGCTAAAATATCCATTCATCTTTGATTTTTGTAAAGTGACGATTCTTTGTTTGACAACATAGATTGCGATTTCATGCAACGGTACACTTGAACAACGTGCAGGTAAAGGCACGGCGTCGCCACTTACAAACGAATAGCGAATTGCGGCCCCTATCTCACAGGTGAATTTAGAATACTTCTAAAGCAAAGGATACTCGGCAAAAGTACGATGCCAAAAGCTGCACGCTCATCGCGTTCGCGGAGGCAGGATCTACCTAGGCCGTACCTTCCCAATGCGAAAATCGACGAAGACCAGTTCTGGCTGAGTACCGAACTAGGTAACTTCAGAAATACGTATTTATTTTTTAACAGGGAGGTACTCGTGAGTTATCCTTCCCGTGATGGTAATCTGTGCTCTTTAGAGTTGGTGTTGACTACGATTTGCCCTTCTTCTATTTTAGGTTCTGGTACCTATGGTGTGGTATATAAAGCTCGCGTTATCCCACCAAAAGATAGTGACCTGATGACGAAGGAGGGTGGTTATGAAGAGCTCGAAAGGCGAAAGAACGAATTCCAGGTATCGCATATTATCCATCCCGACAACCTTCGGAAGATTTTTTTGGTGTTTTCTGTTTTCGGGGGTTACCAAACCTGAACAATTTCTCAGACTCGCAGAACCGAGTACGTTCCTCAATTATCATAAGATTTCAGACCGAAGCGTTGATGTATAGTGCCACTTATCAAATCAACCTCGTTCTTCACTAGTTGGTGGCTATGAAGGAGATTAAATTCACCAACGGGAGTACTGCTATACCAAGCTCGGCCCTTCGAGAAATGGGCCTCCTGAAAGAACTTAAACACCCGAACATCATAAGGTGAGTCACTCAACTTTCAACCAGCTATTCGAGTGGCCCAGTGCATGGTTGCTCTCGTATGACCTACATTGCTGTTATTTCGTTATACAAACTATTCCTAAGAAGTATTTTACATATTTGTTGATTCGGGAGTATTTTCACAGGTGCAATCGCCACTAATTCGCCGCTCTGGTCAATATCTCAAAACAAAATTCCACTTAAAATTCATAGCCTGCTCCGAGTCGTGTATCAAAATTTCAAGCTCTTCTTGGTCTTCGAGCTCGCAACCGAAGATCTGCACAGTTACATTCACAGAACGAAGACGAATGGCACCCGCATATCTGAGGCAACTGCTAAGGTCAGTTGAGAATTACGAGTACATGTAAAGATAACGAAATTGCCCATTAATATAATATATCTGAGAGATCTCAGTATAACTCGTCTTATCAGCACAATTGTCTCAAAAGCACACTGGGACGCAAGTCTATCTCATTGGCGGTCAATTTCATTAGCAAATCCCATGATATTAGCTCATCTCATCCCAAGCTTCCATCTTTAGCATGGCCATGATGGTAAGCACATCCTAGCTCAGTATCACGGCCTATCTATTTAGCACAACCTTACACGTCAATTGCATAATCACGAGGTCGATGTCGAGGCAATGGCACTAATAATGTGAAGTTTCTACTGACAGCGCATTACGATGAGTATCTTGCGGGCGGTGGAATACGCGCATGCGCATTGCGTAATGCACCGCGATCTGAAGCCTTCGAATATTTTGGTGATGGTAAGCAACACTTGCTTTTTGTGCTTGACGTGTAGACGTGCTCTTAATTGTAGCTACCTATAATATATCTTGACCATACAACTTTCCCATCTCCTGAATAAGAACTCACAGCACGCCCTTTATATTTATCACAGGCAGATGAGTCTACCAAAATTGGGGTGTGTATCAGACTGGGATGAATCGGACTGGCAATTGATCTGGAGTTTCTTGCAGTGTGAATGAAAGTTTAAGCTGTCGTACAGCCCAATTCGGATGATGACAGACGGTACTTTCGTCTCTAGCGTTTGCGACTTCACAAAGACTAGTAGTATGGTATCTAACTATCTCATGATGACCAAATCACGACAGGACTGGGGCCTAGCCCGCACGTTCGGGAGCCCCCTGAGAACTTTCACTCACGAAGTCGTCACAATGTGGTATAGAGCCCCTGAGGTCATACTCGGTGCAAGTTACACACCCGCAATCGACCTTTGGAGTGGTATGTGTAGATCTATATAAAAATATTCTCCCGCTCGAAAGGCATGCTCAATTTGCATTGCCTCTTATATCGCGATCGCCATGCTTCCATTGCGAGTACCGCGGAGTACATAATAGCCCGATGAATTCAGGTAATAAGGCAGGAGTGGTTGTATCCTCACTTAATTCATACTATTTACCACAGTTGCTTGTATAATGGTGGAGCTTTTGACAGACGAAGTTCTTTTCTCCGGATCTTCAGAGATTAGCAGCTTATTTCGCATTTTCCGGTAAGTCTCCGCAATAGAATCACGTCTCCTAACTTTAAGCCTTGAGCAAATCCCATATCACTTATTGTCCTAGCTACTTCATGAAGTTCAAATTTCAACATTTCCATCCTTCGACACCCAGGGTTCTCGGTACCCCTACCGAGGAAACGTTCCCTGACTTGTCTCAAAGTGAAGGGAACCACTCACAGTTCCCACAGTGGAAAGCCGCTACCCACATCCACCGAGACCTGACAGACTCTGCTAATGATCTCGCACAGGTATGTTTCGCCTGTAACCCTTTCGTTCAGGATTGATGTTTGATCTCTGCTATATAGGTTTCTATAACGTTTTGTCAACTTTCCGATATCTAGTAATCGCATGGATACTTTTCTCTCCTCCATAGAAAATGCTACTATATGATTCTTCGAAACGTGCAACGGCCTCGGAGGCTCTGGAACACTCCTACTTCGCATAGGCTAATTCGATTACCAACTTACAATACTAAGCCTGTGATGTCAGCGTCCATTACGACGAAACTGGATTCTTATACCGTTAGGGACGTGTCTTGTAGCTCTCCCGACGCAACGATTATGTCCCTAGGCTTCTGTGTACGTTCCTATGTAACCTTCTCTGAACGTCCTGCGTACATCCAGCTAGGGTGGAGCTTTGCATTTTAACTCTACTGAGTTCAGGGTTTCTTAGAAGAGTAGGAATAGCCTATTTCGCCGGAAAACTAAGCAAGAGTTCGAAAGGGTACAAACTATGTACATGTTTGGATCACCCTATTAATCCATTCCTGTCCTGTACTATAACGAGTTCACCGGCTGAAACATGTTGCTGAAAGTGGCGCTAATGCCTCTATCCCTCAATCCCATATATAATATCACATTGCACACATTGCCCCAGGTGTGTAAAGATATATGATATAGGTGGCTGATGTCAGTTCGGCCTAAACTTCCATAGTATCGTGCTTGCTGCATGATTGAAGTTAAAAAAACTTAGTTGCAAGATTGGCATTCAAACCGTAGACGCGCCATGGCGTAATACGTGACACTGGCTGGATGGAAGAAGAACGTCGATCGTTCGCAAGCTCGGCTTTTGATAATAAGAACAATTCAGCGTGAAATTAAACCAGGTTTTGTTGCAAAATAAAACACGTACCTTATAGCTGCCCAGAGCTAATATCATCGACATGCCATAAAAAACGAGATAGCCCCCCTCGAGCTCACGCGCCCAGTACATGTGTGCCGATAATGCCAAACCTGCACAGCACATATCCATAGTCCTATGAGAAAAACGCATTGATTTAAGTGTGCGTTTTTGTACTATATGTAAAATTGCGAACGTCGCTATCATAAGTGCACGAGCACATATAGACACAAAGATACGTAAATACAAAGTACATCTAAATACAATCACATATTCACAGAAAACTGAGAAGACTCAGGATGCGGACTAATAGACGACCCCCCCCCCCCCCCCCCCGGAGTTC